TGGTGCTACCGGAACCCTACTTTCTATTATACCTCTTCACCATGCAAACCTTCAAGACTTATCTAAAGAATGCCATTGCATCTGTGGACGAGTGTGTTATACCCAGTTGCCCTGGTCATGATGTACAGTACATGTATGTTAGATTTTCAGAAGTGAAAGTTCAATTTTTGTGCAGTATTCCTCTTTCAGGTCAGCTGATTTTTCAGTTTAACTACATGTACCTGTATAAACCAGCATGGCAGCAAAAGTTATTTCTTTCATTTAGTTTTTTACAGCAGCCTTCAATTTTTTTTTTTTTTTTTGAGAAGCAAATGATCTTTAAATGATGATCACAATATCTAAAAAGGTTGCAGGTTATTTTGTCTATCCTCTTGAATGTCAGGGTTTTTAAAAAGATTCATGTGATATTACTTCACATCAATACAAGTATGACTCGGCTACATGTACCTGCATGCGTACATGCACCTGTGTCAAAAGGCTTCCATCCACCTCTCACCCCCAACACAGTATAAATCTGACCCTTAAAGTACAGGTTGGCATGCTGCCAAAAAAAGCCAACCTAATTTAGCACATGAGTAATTGTTCAAACAGCTGTTATCATTATTTTCTGTGAAGCTTGTTTGAGATTTCCCCCACAGATTATCAAATTTAAAATCTGCGGGTAGAATGTAGAAAAATGGATTGCTGTAAATTAGTCAAGCTTCAGAGAATTTGAGCATTGAGTTGTGCAATAGCGTGGAAGTTCAGTATTCCAGGAATATGGTGCATGTATGGTGGAAACACTGTTGACTGACATACATGTATGTATGTAAATTAAAATTGATTGTAAAAAAATTGGGAACCTTACGTATGGGTAATTCCAAAAATTAGGGATCCAAAAGTGTGTCATATTTGTGTCCCTATTACATCTGTCCTTTGTTATGTGACATGGAAATGTGCATGTATCACCAAAATTGACTTCCCTCCACTTCAGACTATGTCTATGTGTTTGGCAAATTTGCAGGTAATTAATTCATCACTCTTGGAAGTTAGAAAACGTGCTCTGAACTTACAAAATCATGCATGTATGTCAGATTTGACAGGGACATGAAAAATATGGCCCCCCTAATTTCTGGAATTACATTTTAGGCCTACCCTCAAGTAAAAAAAACTGCAACATTTTGTACATTTTCAGAGGTAGAGAGTTTATTGTGTAACTCAAGGAGTAGATTTTTATCCAAGATTTTTCATTGCTTAGTGTATCCTGCCATCAGCATACATGGCATACAGTAGTCTAGCACATGCACTCAATCTGGAGTTCCTAAGCATGGCTAATTTGTTACACACTTCTCAAGACTGGGTCTTGTAACATTTCAACAGGTCCCTTATAAATTGTCAGCTGCGTATACATGTATGTACATAGACACTTGTTTGTGCTTATTAAACTGCTTATGTTTAAACATAGCTGGTCAGGCATAAAGTGATATGTACAGTACATGTACAGGTATGTTTTTGACAACTTACCATCCATTTATTGGTTCCTACATAAGATGCCATGTGGAGAATAAATGCAATGATTTAAAGAAAAATTGGATTTGTGTCATCAGTTGAGCCAAGCCTTGGCAATCACACTGCAGGATTTCTGTCCTTACAGGTGCTTGTCTGAGTTATGAATTGGGTAAGACATACAGCTACAGTTACGTGACTGAGATCCACATCAACGAGGCTGTGCCCACTGGCAGCGATGTTGGCTTCAAGCTCTCTTCGACGGCAGATCTTTCTGTCGTATGGCAGAGCGGGTCTGAGCAAGTTGCCAAATTGAGTGTAAGTCGAGAGATATTTGTTATTTTCTTTCCCTCATTCAGGCATGACAGGTGAACCCAAAATCTAAAGACTGCAAATAAGTGTGAAACTGAGACATATGACGTGTACATACATGTACATGTCTGTTGCATGCTGTATGTTGGTTTACTGTTAGGTCTGTGTGCTGTGATCATACTTTGCGTAAATCAAGTATGAAGCAAATTTGACATCATGGCTCATTTGTTGCCAATTTGGACTTTGTTCAGCTGTTGCAAATTTGCAGCACGAATACACGTGTTTGACCCAACATCATCAGTGTAACATTAAGATCACTGCACTGATGGTGCTTACCACGAGCTTTCCATCTTAGTCGTCTGTCACCATGAATAGCGTGAAATCCCATTAAGATCACTGCCAAACATAACAGTTAGAGAGAGGACTTGTCAGCCATTCAACTTCTATACTTCAGCCTGCTTTTGGAAAAGTTGGTTGCATATTTGATCTAATGTCCAAAATTCATGTTGGCTTTTGCACCGAGTGTGCCCTAGATCCTGAAAGTAACAACAGAAATGCATCTTTATTTTTCATTTTCTTACAGCTGCGAGACATAAGACTTTCCAGTATCGCCGAGAGGGAGGATGCGGAGAACACGTTCCTGTCTCCGCCCACAACTCTCACTGTTGCCTCCTCGCAACCTGTCTACTTCGTCTGGAGTGTGGGGAAGGTTGGCCAGATTTATGTCAGCGACAGCGAATCGGAAGGCTCGGCTGACGTCAAGAGGGGCGTGATTGGCCTGTTTCAAATGCAGGATGTCGAGGGGGAAATAACAGAGGTAAAGATGTCTCCTAGGTGGATTTCTCCTACCTCTGCATCTTACAAAGCTTTTGCCTTAAAGTGACCACTTTTTGAAGCTGCTCAGTCAACATCTTACATATAGTTTCCTAAAGTATTCATCAGTGTTTCTGTCCTTTGTGAATAGACCTCTATCAAGGGTCAGCCTTTTTTTTTTTTTCCATTCAAAGCAGTGTAACCAAACTGAGGCTGGAAGGAAAAATAGTCTGTTCCCTTTTATCAATATGTGAAGTTGTATTTATATCGCCTCTGGATCTACAAGGAGCAAGAAAACCATGGAAGCATCATGATAAAGGCCTTTTGCAAATGCAGTGTTGTTCACATCCAGAAATTTGAAATCACCTTGCAGGCAAATGTGGCCTTATGTTTAGGTTTCATGACTTCTGGATCAATGGCTCAAGGGGTTCGAATCCAGCTGTTGGCCATAAGTTGTGGCCTTGCTTGCCCCTCTCCACCCAGGAAAATTCATGTAAATGGGTATCTTTATGAGCTGGGGATTAACTTGTGATGGACTGGCATCCCATCCAGAGGGGGATGGAGGGGACAAAAATATTCTTAGTCATTTCTTTCCAAGGACACTGGAGACATGAAACACCTGCCTGGTGAGCCTAATGCCTCGGAACAGACCTTTCCAAAATAAATTCGAAAATTGAAGTCCTCGTGCGTAAGGAATATAATTAGTCAAACTATTTCCCACAATTTGCTGTTAAATCAGACGTCAGATGTCTCTTGGTGGCACACTATTTGGCAAACGTCTCCCTTAAATATTTTTTATTTTTGGTGTTTGTGTGTTATTTTTTTCAGGTGGATGCATCCGGAAAGTGCATAGTCACTTACACCAAAGTCGGCAGCAAAATTCTAAAGCTCAAAGATCTCAACTCCTGCATAACTGTCCAATCAGGCGGGTTCTCACACCCTAAGAGTGCCTTTGGTATCGACGTCCAATCGGAAGCCTCAGTGTCTTGCGATCTCTCCCAAGATAAAAAAATTATCCAATCAGCAGCGAGCTTTGAAAAGTGGAAGACATTTGTGAATATCCAGTCTGAACTGTCCACATCAGTGACCGCAAGGTACCAGCCAGAGTCCATATTTTTTTTTATTTATTACATTTTTTATTTGGTGAAATGTACTTGTGAGGATTGGTTTTTCTGTTAGAATATTAACATTAATTATAATTAATTAATATTAATATATTGATATTATTATTAAAAAAATTTGTTATATCCTAAATGCTTTCCAGTCAGAGCCTTGCTTTACAAAGCAGCGATGGGGTTGCAGAAACTCTCCAAGGGTCGACAGCAGAGGGTGCCATCACAGGTGCTGGGAACTTCCACAGGGCATCTTGGTCAAGCGACAAAATGGGCCAACAGTGTGGAGAAGGCTGTAGACCAGTAAGGACAAAGCAAAAGGAAGAGTGTTATTTTTGAGATGTTGCTTTTCAAAAAAGTTTTTGAGAATTTAAAATTTTAATTTGTTATAAGACTTGGCGTGTTGAAGCCATTAGACATATGCAAAGTTGACAACCATGATTTATTTTGCAGCTATCAGAGGTAGTAGCTGAGGCTAGAGATGGGCTAACGGAAGAAGCTGTCGCCAAGACGAAATCTGCCATGGCTTACCTGGACGTTCTCCAAGCTTTCCGAAACTCGGGCAAGAACACCATCGTAGAGACACTCAAAGATGTGGACAATGCTCCCATAGTGTGAGTGATCTTGATGTCAAGAGCCACTGACCAGTTAAACAAAAGCTTATACACTTGTTTACATCACCAGCAGTGTAACTGGGTGGCCAGGTGGGCCAGCGCCCCCCACATCCCCCCCCCATGGCCAGATTACAATTTGGTTGGGCTTTGGCCAATTAATGAATATGATGCCTGATTGTCTCGCAACACCCCCGCCCCTTTGAAATCATTCCAACGGCATTGATTAACGTCTTTTATTTAACTCTGGTGTTCTGAGGGGAGTGTAGATCTTGGTTTCTTCAGTTCAATTGTTCCTACGTCAGGATCCCTTAGTACAAACGTTGCCCTTCTTGTAATGTGCGGTAAAAGAGCAGTGTGGTAGTCGAGCCCCTTTCAAGTCCTTTTACAAGTGCCTTCTCAAGTCCAGTTACAAATCCCAGTCATATGTAACAGGGTCAAGAGTGAAGGATGATTGCTGTTCGTCACAGGTCATTTGAATAACTTGTGACGTGGTTTATAAAGACTGGAGGATATTGATAGACTTAAGTGTATGATGGGACTTAACTGCCTCCAGTCTGACACATTGCATGCATACCTGAGTATGCCGCATATGCGTTAATATTAGCTGCCCAAAAAGCAGTTTTATGGTATGATGAACGGGGGTAATAATAATCATAATAGTGTCTCGAGCGGATTTTTGTTTCATAAATCCACATTGTTGTTTATACTCAAAAAGTAGATCTTTGGTTTTGAAAGTTTTTTTTTTGTGCTTGTAGAGCTCAGCTTTTTGATGTGCTTGCGGCCACCCAGACACCGCCAGCTTGGGAAGCTATAAAGGAGGTGGTGGACTTCACTAATAGAGAGGCTGGTGAGATATTGGAGAGGTTCCTACTGACGATGGCATACAATAATCATCCCACTGAAGAGCAGATCTCTTGGCTGCTGGTGAGTTGTGGGTGGTTGCTTGGTCATGGTGAGTAATTGGGAAGGGGGAGTCTCTTGCTGGAAATAAGGGTTGATGCCCTTGTATATGTGATTGGGTTCTTGCATTATGGGATTTTTTGATTGGTTGGATTAGGTTGGGTTGAGTTGGGTTGGGGTTTAGGTTGGGTTTAGTTGGGCTAGGGTGGTTTGGGTTGGTATAGGTTGAGTTTAGTTAGATTGGGCTGGGTTGAGTTGGGTTGGGCTGGGTTTAGTTGGGCTAGAATGGGTCGGGTTGGGCTGGGTAGGGTTGATTTAGGTTGGGCTGGTTTGAGTTGGGTTGGGATGGAATGGGTTGGGTGGTGAGTTGGGTTGATCAGTTGAATGGGTAAGGTTGGAAGGGGTTGGCTATTTCAGTGTCTGATTTGGAGTGGGATTAGGTGAGTGTTATTTAATTTGCCCTTGGAAATGTAATTTTGAGGTTTATGACAGTCATGTACATGTAGCCTGCATTTGTCCTGGTTGATGATGTTGAATTGAGGTTATTTACTTGGGTGTATGGTGGTTGGGTCGGGTCAGGCTAGGTTGGATGAGGTTCAAACAGAATTGCTGATCGTTTATTTTCACTTCTTTGGGTACAATGACTGACAATCTAAGCACTGTTGCTTATTGGCGGACATTTGATTCCTATTTAAGGGTATACTGAAAGAAGAGAAGGTGGACAATAAAGATGTCCAAGCAATGATGGCACTGACCGTAGCCAAGCTGGTCAACTCGTACTGCTACCTTGGGACTGAACAGTGCAACTCCAAGGTATGTGCTCCCATGAGTGGATGTCATCCTCAAAGGTAGTTGGAGTTTGGCACAATCGGCAGATTCAGGACTTCTTCCGGGGGAGGGCTTTTTTTAACGTCTCCTTTTTGCAGATAAATGGAAATGATGAAATGTTGCATGACATGCGTTAAGTTACTTTTGTACACATAAAAAGAGTTGCAAGATGCTATGTTGTGTTTAAATCTACTTAAGTTTTTTTTTATTTCACTACAGAGTTAATGCAAAAGTTTGAAATGGTATGAAAGCATGAGGAAACATGCTCTCTGTTGACAAGCTGGAAAATTTCTCCTTCTCTGCTTGGTTCAGGAACACTGGGAGAACCCTTTGTGGCAAAGCTGCTGTGTTCCTAATTTGGCCAGTCCAAATCCAAGTAAAGCATGCATTAGCTTTGACCACTGAACCCATGTGGGAACCCATGTTGTTCCCAGAAGGAATAGTGGTGGTCCCCATTAGAATGTTTGCATGAGCCATGCTCTTGTTGGAATGTTTTATAGCATCCCAAAGAGCAGATAAATGCCAAATAGAAGCTTTTTCTTCATGCATCTTTTCAATTAGAATATATCTCTCTCCTCAACCAGGCAGTAACCGATGCAATAGACTGGCTCTTGGCCGGCGTTACCACTGAAGATCGCTTCCAGAAGATCCTGTGTCTGAATGCCTTGAAGAACGCCGTCCAGCCAAGTAGCATTGAGGCCATCCTGTCCGTGGCTGAGAACGAACCAGACATGGACGTGGTGGAGGTTGCATTGGATGCACTCCTAAAATTTGACACAGAGTACTTTACACCAAAGGTGAGGGAACCAATGAATTGATTTGACACAACTTAAGTGATGTGAGTTTACTTGACACGGCATGACAATGTTTGATTGATTTGATTTAATTTAATTTGTTGTTTGTCAATTTGATTAGGTCGAGTTCAGTTTTATTTAATTATATTGAATTTGATTTCGTGTCCACTCGAACTTTGCTTTCATTACTTACCTAAATAATAACAGTGCAATCACAGAATTCAAACCTGAATTAGTGCCCCAATTTTATGAGATTTTGTGAGTCATAACTCACGGTTTGCCAAGTGGAAGAGTTGCAATGGAGACCCACTAAGACCGTCACAACGTCCCAGGGGCCCACCACTGGCATCCTGTCTGAAGAGACCTCATTACTGATGACATCACACTTTGTTTAAATGTGTGTCCTTTTTTAATGGTGCTCAGTGTACAGTGGGCCCCACTGGCTCCCAAGGGAAGTCACAGGCAAGCAAAGTGTGATGTCATCATTACATAGGCCTATTTAAGTCAGACGCTCTATGAGTGAAACCCAACAAAAGCAAGTCATTGTTCACTCTGTAACTCTGTGACTAATCTTGTGCCTGGTGGCATTGTATCTGGTCTTGTGTCTGGTATTGTGTCTGACTTTGTGTCTGGTCTTGTGATGGTCTTGACTACAGCCTTTGCCAAGCAGACTCTCCATTTCCTCTTGCACCCCTCAGGTCAACAACATCCTGAACAACATCTTTCACGAGGGCAGCAAACAGTACTCCACCGTCACCCGGGCGCTGGCAGCCGACCTGTTGCTCCAAAATCAACCCTCAGAGGCAGACGTCGTCAGCATGGTCTTGTCACTGCGAGAGAGCTCTCAGGGGGAGATGGCACTGTTCGTCCTGGAGAAAGTGCTCCATTATGCCAAGGGTTCATCAGAGAATAGGTCAGAGGTCATCCTGCTTTGTCCCCCCTTCATCATCCCTGTTGTAAACAAGCTCAATGTGCAGATAGCAAACAGAGCTAATTGTTTGAAAATTCTGTTCGACGGTTCACCAGAATCTCACCAACTCAGAAGACACATGTTTCCTGTGGAGGGTACCACCAACTTACCAACATTCCTTTCCTCAACTTGCAAACCTTCAAATCTGATCTGAAGTAACAATAGCACTGTCTGATTTTGGATAAGCAAAGCCATCTTTTCTGTGAAAATACAACAATGGTTCTTGACTTCTAGATATTTGGAACCCAACATTTTTTAATAAGTAGTTGCTTTTTTGCTTAATAATGAGTAAAGACTTTACTTAGTTATGTTGAAAAAAGTGGAAGATTTAAATAGAAATTATGCAAATCTTGCTTATGTTTTTTGCAAAATTTTCGGAAAACTGTTTGCTAAAAAAGTGGGCAAAGTTAGGGTAAATGGACAGATTTCACGACTCCACCGACAGCTTCCAGTTTTTAAGCATATGGATGTGCACCTTCTAGCCGGAATTTTCTACCTTGTCTTGAATCTTTTAAACACTTTTTCCACTCACAGCGACACAATTCGATCAGCACTAAGTGGCATGCAGGTCCAGAATTACTACACAATGGCTCTTCCAGGGCAGTCCGTCGCCTTCAACAGCTTCTTTCTGGGTAAGAAAGAAAGCTGCCACATTATGCTTTGAAATATATACATTTCATGTTGGGCACGCTAGTTCTGTCCGTTTTTTCCAAGGAATTGGACTATATAACTTCAAGTTTGTGGTGCATGCTACAGTTCTGTTTTGCCATGGAATTGATGGCAGCAAGTGTATAGCTTTCCTTTAACCCTAACCATTCCTGCCAGATCCTCCGCAAACCATTTTTGAGATTTTGGAGGATTTTGAAGGATGGTGGAAGGCTGGTGCCAGCCGCTATATTGTTCAATTTGAGACTCAATGCTCTGTATCATGGAGAATTTTTCAGGAGTGAGGAATGTTTGTAGTTAGAATACCTATCAGCTATTAACTTAATTTACATTTTGTTCATTTGTGTTTATTCTTTTGCCATCCTCCTCTCTTCAGAGACTGACGACGTCTCCATCAACTACGGATTGGACCTTCAGATGACTGCCAGCGGTCTTCTCCGGAAGAGCGACTTCCATGTCGGTCTTGATATCAAGAACGAATCATTGCTGTTGCTAAATGTAAGTGAAAAAGTGATATCTTTGAGGCAGGTGTTGAACCATATATCTTTGAAATATGGCCAGTGAGAGTTGCGGAAATATGACGTCCGAAATTCTGAGGCACGTGGCAATCTGTAAGATGTGACGTCATTGCAGAGAGAACTACGGTACCAAGTGGTAGTCTTTTGGTAGTGTACCTGGAGATATATCTGCTCTTGTCACCTATTCCCTCTTCTTTTAACTAGGTTGGTGTCTTCTCTAGAGGCCTGGAGTATTTCTTCGGCGAGGAGACGGGTGACACTGGTGAAGCCACAGCTGGCCTGAACATCGAGTGTATGGACATGAAGCTACGTATGCTGGTGTTCTTCACAGGCACCGGTGAGCTGATGAGCATGGCGTGGAACATGGGGTCGTCCGACAGCCCCATGCCCCACATGCGGGTAATTGGCTTGGTGCAGGACCACTCTCAGGTGAGTTTGCCTGACTCGGACTCGACTCAGACTCCAATTGCGTCTTTGACTCAGAAAACATGATTTGGGAGATAGCTTAAGATGGAGAAAACTTCTTGGGACTTGACTTAGGAGAAAATGACATTTGTCTTGACTTGAGAGAAGAGATTTGGGAGAAGGTGACTTGAGAAAGATGACTTAAGACTTGGCTTAGTCTTAATGACTTCTGACTTGACATAGGACTTGACTTTGGAGAAGATGTTTTGGGCTTGGCTTGGGTGACAATGACTTGGAACTTGACCTGGAATCTGACTTGGGAAAAGATGTTTTGGACTTAGCTTGGGTGACAGTGACTTGGGACTTTACCTGGGTTTCCAAATCTCAGCTTTATTTTTCCGTTGCCGGCTTTGCCTGATTTTTTACCCCCAATTCTTTTACCCCCAACTCTTTAGTTTTTACTTAGAAACATCTTACTAGAGGAGCATTAAACTGTATACCATTGACCCAAATGTGAAGTTATTTCTTTACAATGTAGTTTGCACTTTATGAGCCTAATGTGGAACAGTTTTGAAGTCAGAGACACGCCTGACTTGGTGATGAAGCTGAGATGTGTAAAATATGCCAGAAAACACACTGTAGGGACTGCACGTTGGCCAACATGCAGTGACCACATTTTAAACCTTTTGGTTGTCTTAGAAAGAAGTTTCGTGGGTTAAAAAAAACTGAAAATACGTAGCCAGTCATCCACCATTCTAAAACATCTGTGTACTTGTCATGATTGTCTTCACATCTCTTAAAGTTCTCCCTTTTTTCTCTACCCACCGTCGGGCAGAAACTCGGCTTACAGTCAGGTTTCGGCGTGGACCTGAATGTCCAGGGAAGCCTATCTCTGGATTTAGGCGGCAGCTTAGACTTCAGCTTGTGGGACCGCTCATCGACCACGATAGTCTCAACAGGGTAGGCAGTTTATGTTTCAGTTCTTCCATTCCTCATCAGGTCGCTGTCATGTGTAGGATAATTTGTTTTCTGTTACGAGGTGTGCATGTAGGTTAATAAATGATGTATAGAGCCTGTAGAGGTACCTGCTTGCTTCTGGATTGAAAAAAGTAGCACAATCGTTGCAAGATATCTTGCCTATGGACACAAACCACAAACAAATTGCTTGATGTCCTGTTCTCTGATTTTCAGTGGATCAATGGGCGTCAAAGGCTCCACCCGGATCACCACTCCGTTTATCACAACGGGTATCGACTACACAGGCAGGGGCGCCACCAGGGTCAACTTTGTCACATCGGTGCAGTTCTCTTCGCTACCGCCGCTGTCGTGCCTACAGCTCATGAGCGAGCCTCTAATTTATATGTAAGCACCGTCCAGGCAGTTACACCACAAATCTCGATGCGGTGTTGAAAAGTCACCGATACGAAAGGGCAAAATGGTATCCCTGATATGACTCTTGATAAAATTTGGTTTGGGTTGGCGTAAATTACAACAGCGACTTTGCCCGTCACCAGTTGGGTATCGGATTTTGGCTGGCCAGCATGTCTCAGTAATTTTAGTAAATTTCACAGCCAAGAGATGCAGTATCTACACTACATAGCTGGTTGTCTCCATTCAGAGTCTCATGCCAGTCAACTGGAGAATTTTTTTCTCGTAAATTTGCTGAATGCTCCGATGAGTATTCAAGGACAAAACTTTCTACTGAATTTTCCTCTCTGAAGTGCCCAGTCATGGGTCCTTGCACGAGGCCAGTCACAAGTGACAGGATGGATCGTGACAAAGGATAGGGCAAAGCTTTTGTCACAGTCCATTTATTTAACTTTTTTGACGTGGCTTTAGACTGGAGGACATTTGACGAACTTGTGACAGACTGGACTGTTGCACAGCCTCGCTGGGAACTGAAATTTGTCACAGTTCCTGGTGTATCTCTGTCATTCAAATACCTCTCCACACCTCAAATCCCCGACGACTCAAGTTTTTTTCTCTTCCTCTCTGCAGAAATGAAGTAACAATGCAGGAGCAGCTAGCCAGGTCAGAGACCAAGTACCAGTCCTACCTGCGGAGGAGGTTCAAAGTTTTGGACCGGTCCTTCAAGCTCTTTGACCGGAACTCAGCACCATGCCACGAGATGTTCGGCAAGGAGGAAGAAGAGGAGGAAGAGGGATGGTGGTAGATTTATTCGTCCGGCTTATCTTTCACTTAGTCTCACTTCTGGAAAATATTCCTTTTCTATTAGTGTTTTACCAGCACTCTGGTAGCTCTTTACTAATAAATTTTGTAATAGATTTTTCTGTTGTCCTTTAGAAAGTAGTGTGTGTCTCGGTTTTGAATTGAAGTATTGTGTAAATTTAATTGAACGCCAAATCGTGCCTTGAATGTAATTAATTGTAACTCAGTGTATAACCTTAGATGCTTATTATGTTGGAAATGAAACTATGCAATCTTTGGGTAAGGGTTGCCTTGCTGGCTGCGAGAGAATTTTGCATTGTAACTTACGTCGCAGTTCCGACTAGTGTGGTGTCTGGCCAGAAAGTAAAGATGGAAAAGGGTGTCCTTGAAAGTCATAGAAACTCGGGGGAAAAAGATGATGAAAGTCGTGGAAAATTCATGGTAATCAAGATAATGCAAGGGTTAAGTTTGGTGGGCCTCTTTTGTTGTGATAATGTATATCCTTGTGAGTCAGTATTTGTGGCTGTGGCAGTCTGCCCAGCCCTGAGAAATCCGTTCCCCAAATGTGGCACAAGGGCACAGCATGTGCAAGATGAATCCACCTGAATTAGAAGCACTGCTGCAGTCACTGAAAGCCGAAATGCCCGTCAATTAGGCCAGCACCGTGACCGGCTCCTTCACTTGCCAAAAGCTATAAAGTCACATTAAGATGGGTAATAAATTCTTGAAAAAGCTAAATAAACTTGGAAATTTATTTCCATAATTTTTTTAATTCTAACGGTGTATAAACAAATTAAAAATAACATATCTTTTCCTACACTTTGTATGTTCCTTTTAAAGTAAAATCTAAAGGTAAAGATATTTTGATAAATTGTTTTTGATAATCGTCTGAATTTTGATACGAAAGGTTTTTTATCTTTCCTCTATTTCCAACTACTGTTTTGTAATTTACTATGTTAATAAACCTTTCAATGTTTGTTGTTAAATGCGAACTCATCAAATTCAGCCGATAAAGATACAGAAATTGTCTGTATATTTATTTAAACAAATTCATTCACATCAAAAACATTAATTCTAAACTTTATCTGCGCAATGCTAAGTGCTGTAGATATCTTTATTCTTTGTTTTTGAAAACTCCATGTTGTATGGAAGCCTTTCAGAAAGACATATGCAAACAATGCAATTTTTTTTTAGATTTGTAAGCCCAGTCTATAGGCCTACGTGTAGGTACCTCATGCTTTAAGTGTGCCCCCCGTTAGGACAAACTGAACAATAAAAATACAGTGCGGTGGATTTGACCGACGGCTGTGCCCTGTCGAAGTTACATGTATTCCAAGAAGAAGCGGTATGGGGTAATCATGATGTTATCAACATCTGCTTATTTGCCCGTTGTTTATGTCACCAATTCGCCAAAACCGTTGTTTTGACAACTAACGGGCGCTTGTACATGGTGCCTTGTGGGGTACCCCACAAGACCAGTTTTGATCCTTGTGGCGTACTGAAGTGGTACCCCACAAGAATTTCACGAAATAGATATTTCAAATTTACTCAAAAAGGAGGAATTTTTAAGTGCCATTTATCCGTCGCAGATTGAAGTGTTTAATATAAGGGACATACGGTCGAAATTTTTAACCCAGGAAACTGAATTTGGTTGAAATGGCAGTGATTTGAAATTTTTTTAATGCTGTGTGGGAGTTTCGTACACGATAACAAAGGAAATACCACACAAGTATATACATATGTAAGGGCGTGTGGCCTTATTTTTGACTTACGGGAAGGATGTTGCCAAGGATACATGAAAATAATTGTCTCATTGTAATTTTTCATAGGTTTTTTAATTCCTCATTTTTGTTTGGGTGCACATAGCCCCCGATCCCCACCTCCCCCACGCATCGGTGTCTCGCGCTTTCACCTTTAATTCTCTATTGAGTAGGCCTACGTACAGTGGGAGACCCCTTTAACGTTTTATCTAAAATCTGTGATCCGAAAAATACACACGCAAGGTATACTCCTATAGGTACGTCCCAATCGCTGAATACAGTAAGCCCAATACCGATTCCACATTCTAGTGTATGCATGACACACATTATTGTTTACCTACGGGTCGCAACCGCCTCCATTCCTCAAACCCAATAAGCGCCAGCACAGCTCAATTGACATAGTGACGACAGTGTGCTCGAAGGCCCCCACATTCGTCGTTGAGACAAAATGGCAGGCAGTGCTAAATTGTATTACATTTGGAACTTCTTCGAGAAGATCGCGCCGACCGGATTCGTCGCAGGCTGGCTTCGAGCGGCCAACTATGTGCAGACAAATAAGGAATTCATCTCCACCCAGCTCCACCGCAACTTGAACCCCGAGGGTAAGTTGTTGACTAGCCTTCCATGGATCCTAATGTTGTCCAGCCTCCAAGGTCCTAATCATGGAAGAAGTGGATATCTAATGGCCCTAGACCATGGGGGCATATAGCAATGAGTGGTTAGTGCTTTACAGCACCTGTCGAGTTCTTCATCCCATGGAATTCCATAGATTTCAGAGCTAATATTATTTTGTCGACACCTGTAAAGGACACTGAAACCGACGAAATAAAATGACCATTTCATAAGCACTGCCTCACACGCGTTTGTTTGAGGTCATGCGTGACGGCCCATGCAATTATGTTTTTGTGTACTTTTCCACAGGTAACCTTCATCGAAGCCTCTTTGTGCCTCGTCATATTTTAAAGGGACTCACAAACTTCCCGTTTCATGAATGTCGCATAATGTTCTGGTGGACACTTTATAGGCGTAACAATACAACAACGATCTGGAAAAAGATAAATGAGGAGGGATAAACTGTTAAATATTATCGGGTGAATTTCTTCACTGGATGACGAACTTAGTTATTTAGATTTTAATCGAGAATCGTTCTTAATTTCAAAGGTGCCTTCAAATATGTGAACCATGCTGCCTTTGACGGACTAACATTTGAAGGTTTTCAGAGAAGCAAACCAACAGAGGCCTGGGCGAGCCTGATGAAGAGTGAAATGGCATCAAAAGCTGTGGCCTACCCAGGTGAGAGAAGGCTTTGGAGATGTCGTCCTTGTCTTTTCCTTTAGTTTGTCTGGTGAAATCTGAGAGAGTTTAATGTGCGTGGTCTGTAGAATGATATTTTACCTGTCGTGAAAGAAATTTAACTTAGTCGCGCTAAGGTAGTCGTGTTATCGCTGTTCCATCGCAATTTACGGCGACGGATCACTAAGACAAAACTCAAGATTTAAGGGATGGTCGAGGGCAATCACAGACAGCCAGCAAAGAGTCGCAAGCAGTCACAGGCAGCTGATGTAGTGTGAAAGAGGACGTATGAGCGGGAGTCTTAACTGATACGTATATCGGTAGCCAAGATGTAAAGCATGTCTTCGGTGTAGTTTAGCTGCACTTATACCACAGTATTTTGATTTGTTGGATAAAAGAAATTGTCATGTGATGGATTATAGATTTCATAACATCACTGATAAGTTGAGTTTATCCTTGTTTGCCAATCCACATGTAATAGGTGGCTACACTGAGATCGCAACAAACACCGGAAAGCCATTGGCCCCATGGCTCCCCAAAGGTGACAATGGCATCTTCATCGTGACGTCATTCAAGGTGCGTCTTCTTATGTCCTAAGTTCAGATTTCATTTAGTTGATGTCGCATCGAGGACAAAATGGCACTTTGTACCAAACCTAGAAAAAAGTCACTAGAATATAACTAACAGCCAACTGAAGATAAGCATAGGATCTATGAAATCGAAATGGTGCAGACTGTTGGACTGACCAAGACTCACTCATTAACATCAAGAATTTCACATTGACATTATATTTGAGCCCTTATGAGTGTTCTGCATAATAATCACAACTTCCATAGCAGCGATCATAAGAGCTTTCATTTTGGTGGATTCTTCAAGATTGAAAGCATAGGAAGGGCTATCATATAAGTACAATTCGACTTACAGGCTTTGAAATCTCGTAGGCCTCAATCATGATTTTAAGAAGCATCAATTTTTTTCTTAATACTTCCACTTCAATGCACCCCTATCATGAAAAATATTCTGACTTTGAAGTCTCAATCATGGCAGTTGTTCTGTCTAGGTTGCTGATGAAACTGACACTAAGCTCCAAGAGACCTTCGAGAAGGACTGGATGGAATCGTCTGGCACCAATTTCATCCTCCAACAGGCACCTAAGGAGCTAGGAATCTCCCACGTCGGTCTGTACAAGAAGTTCACCCCGCGGCCAGGGCTACTGTACGTCCTCCGCGTAGAGCTAGTCGGGGTAGGTGAGGATTCAGAGGCCGCTAGGAGCTTCTTGAGTCAGTTGAAGGCCTTTTCGTTCCCAAACTACTTCGAGCGCGTGGTCACCGACTTGTACCGTGCAGACCCCGAAAACATCCTTTTTCCTGAAGCAGGAAGGAAAGATCTTCCGGAAGGATTCAGCTATAAGCCTTAGATTCCCTCGATGAATCTTAACATAAAGCATACCATGTCAAGGGACAAAGGTAATCGATTCTGAGAGAGGCAACCTAGGCCTAATATTGTGTATCGCGTTGAAGGTATACGTTTCGCTTACACTCGTTCATACCCTTCCTCGTCGGATCAAATACGACCATTCTTTCTTATGCTTGTTGGTAGTCGTGTTGGGTGCCTAGCTTAGCAGGGTAATTCAGGTTTTAATTCTTCAACATAGTTACCCGTACTTGACGTTTTCTTCAGCCTTTCGATGCATACGTTTGGCTGTAAAATCGATTGGTAGGCCTACTCTTTGTACGCGAAAATTTTGCAAGCTGAGTGATGCCTCGTGTGTACGTGTGTTTTCTGTTTTGTTTTGTTTTGTTTTGTTTTTTAGGGGAGGGGTTCGAATACTTTATGTTCTTGTGCTGGTAGATTCCATGCGACAAAGGGTTAATTTGTCATCCTTGTAAATGACCAAGCGTATACCTTACGATTTTGCCTGTAGGTGTCGAGGCATGTTCCTGGACATGGGTGAAGTAGTCCCCCCCCCTTCCATTTGTTTCTTCAATTCCCAGTGAAAGTCCTCCCCATACAATTTCTGCCCCGTCACTCTGTTAGTGTCCTTTTAACTTTTCAAGTTTGCATACCGTTGCTTAGTAACACTGAAAACCCTGAAACTGAAAGTTACCTACACTTGTCTGTCGCACACTAAACGCTGGCAAAGTGGACAAGAGGCGGTTGAAGGCGCGTCCATGATTAATTTCGCTTGTTGCAATGATCCCTGTCCCAACTGACACAACGCCATTCCACGAACGCACGCACGCAACACTGTACCAATATTCCTCGCTTGTACAGAACTGAGTACATAGGCATGCGCATAAATTTTGCCAACAACAACTTTGACAACGGTTTACTACACCTGGTCAGCACGACGACCTCTCAATATGAACCTTACGTTTTACGATCTCAGGACTAGAATGTGACTATATCAATAATCCTTTCTCTTTGACAATGTTGAAGTCATTCTGGGGAAAATCAAGTTCTCCTGTGTACCACGTGTGTTGACAGTTTTCCGTTTTGAAATTTCATGCCACAGTCGAGTACAAAGATGGCATAGTCATGCGTTTGTTTGAAGTAAAGATCAAGCGTGTTCGACATGTGATGCACGATATGGGGCGGAGAGAACCCCCCCCCCCGCTTTGTATTGATCATTGTTTGATCGGAATCTCAGGAATTCTTTACAGAGGGGGATGTGTTAGCTAACAATAGTCTAGAGTGTGTATAGGGATTGGACATGTGGGGGGTTACCCGTGGGCCCCATATCGTGTACGGTATCATATTCGAGAACGCAAATAGAAAGCCTTCGAAAAACTAGTTATATTCCTTACAAAATTTAATAACTATCCTCCAACGTTAACGTTTTGGAAAGGATGCTTTCTGCTGTATGTCGCGATATGCGTATTAAAGTTCAAGGGTTCTTTCGCTTGTGACTCAGCTCATTTTGAGATCACACAGCTGCTTCACTTATCAGTGTCTTCTGAAAAGTAATAAATTGATTATAAAGATGAAGACAGAAATTGATTACAGCGGGATGTGAACCTGCATCCTCTGGAAAACCGTACCGGTGCTCTACAAACTGAGCTATCCAGCACTAGGTCGGTGGCCCTTCCCATTTGTCAATATCTTTGTTCGGGGGACGAAGTAATAAATCGAAAAGCGAGTAGGCCTATATTAAATGTGGTTTGTGTGCTTATTTGATTACAGAAAACCTATTTCAAAAATCTTTTTGCACTAATGTCCGTGTTTAGCTCAACGGCTATAAATACAATTTGTAAGCCTAATGGGCATGACGATTAGGCTAATACTTCCAGGAATGCGGAAATATTAACTAAATATATCAATTTATCAACTGTCTATACATACGCATCCTCGTGTCAGTTTTTTAAAAAATTATTTTTTTTAATCGTTATCGATATAGATCTAGAAACCATTGCTGAGAACGCGACGTCCTTTTTTAAGCAAAGTCCGTGAAGTGAAGGTGTTGTGAGCCTAGAAATTTGCCTCGCTAAATTAATTACATGAGACTTTGGGAGAGTCACGAAATCTGAAGACGCCTGGTTCAGGAGGACTGGGTCGCGATTTATTTCAATGGTCAGGACACAATAAAAGAAAAAAAGACTGAAAGTTGGCCGGTGAACCTTAAGTTAAACCCATCTCGTATATTGGTAACAGCCTTAAGAAAAGGGGAAAAATAGTTTTCTCTTGAAGCCCTCTGGGGAAAATAATAAGTTGAATGCAGATGTGACTAAAAGTATACAGGAAAAAAGTGATAACAAGCCAACAAGGTGCCACAAGTAGGCGTGGATTACTAGAGTGAACAATCAGACACACACAACCCAGCTGCGACTGGTAACGAGTGGAAAAGTGCAAATGTGGAAATGCTGAACAGAGTTGTGAGTGATAATGTTACTCTTCAGCAGCGCTCACCAGTCTGAACAGCTAACTGCAGTAGGCTTAGTGCTAACTATGGGGCGATATGGGGTACCAGACAAGGACGCTTGTAAAAGAAAAAGTGTCATATAAAAAATTTAAATCTCCCTTTCACACTGGCATTGCTCATTGTTTAAAAGCGGACGAAAGTTATGAAACATGACAACACAAAATCTTACTGTCTTCCCTTGGTCCTAGGCGTCACAACTCGAAGCCATCCATGTAACTGTATTTAGACTGATTAGTGAGAACAAGCATAAGAGCATGCTCGTCTTTTCGGTCCAATTGCCGCATGAGCCTGAGCCTGCAACTCACGTTTCCCGCGCGCAGGCAGTGAACGGACGTATTTAGGGCGTGATCACTGCTCCCGTCAAATTAGACCGTCCCGTGCCATTGGACGGCGCTGATGAATCCTCTGTCGCCAAACACATATCGCGGCCGCCGACGTGCGTGAAATAATATCGAGGAAAACTGGAGACAGTGAGAAAGAATCCAGCGGTTTGTTTCTTCACCTTTCTCCGCACGTCTCTTGCGAATTGTTCGCGACCGCTCCGTAGCGGAAACGCGGTCGACGTCTCGTGTGTGGCTGTCCGCGAGAGAATCACAGGTAGGTGTCTGTCAATATGCTTTGATCGGTTCAGACTAGAATAAAGACTCCCCGCCTTTCAGGAAATTTTGTTGCAAGTTATAACAAATGACCGAAAAAAGATATTAGGGGTGCATGGAACCGATACGTCTAGTCTGAGTAACCCTAACCGCCTTGGGTGTATGTAAAATCAAACTGAAATCGGAGTATTTGAGGCTGTATAGGTTTGTCGTTTAGCACAACTTCCCTTGCCGTTTAAAGGTTCAATCAACACATTGCAGAGGCCGCCTACCCCAGTACTCACATATAACAAGTCTATAGTTCACAAACAATACACTTCGGTGCACTGCATATATAAATGTAGGTCGATGTTAAAGAGAGAATTCAAAATAGGCAAACCTCTCTTGTTTTAGAATTTCATTTTCCAGACTAAGTAGATAGATGCAGAGGGAACTCATTAAGCAATTGGAAGAATGCATTTTGGACTGTTTAAAACAGAATGCCAAACGGAAGTCAAATGTCCAAACCTGAAAAAATGGGTTTCGTTTAAATCTTTTCGAAAATCTGGTAATCGTTTACTCAACTCTTTTCATTTAAACGTTTAAAGGTGTAAATGTCGTACCTTCGGTAGATAGTATTTGCTGGAATGGGGAGGCTTTAAGTGTATTTGGTTTCCAGTCCATACTCGATCTCGCAGGTTTTTTCCGGGTACTCCGGTTTCCTCCTGCTTCTAAGACTGGACCTTGTTCCGAACTCTATAATTTGATGCTGATTAATAAAGGTTATGAATAAACGTATAGTTATTGTTGCAAATAGCCCGAGTAGCTGAAAGCGCTGTAACAAAACAACACCACCCCACTCTCATTCCAGCATGACCGGATGGCTGCAAGATTGACATCTACATGGACGTACATTCTTAGTGATCCTTTAGCATCTTTTCTTCGCCACAGTATTTGTTGCTTTGTCACTGTGGCGAACCGGATTTGGCTGTAGTGTACAGCTAAAAGGTGAGCTAAGCTACAGTGACGTTGCCAGTATTTATCCTATTTAATTCGTTACCCAGGCGGTTCTCTTTATTTTCCCTGGAACATAAAATTTCATTAACCTTTTCTTCGGCAAGAAGATAGTTGCCGTAAAGAAGAAAAGGAAGACTTTAAATTTTTATTTATTTTCAAAGGCAAAGAAGCCATTCAGAAGATTAGCACTCGCTTAATTAATTAAAGCATTACTCTAGGGGAAGTGGCGGATGGTGCTTATTCCCACTGCCAATGAGTTTGCAACGCATTTTGGAAAGCTTTCAATGTTGCCTGTATGTTGAAGTTATATGCCAGCCGTACATAAACTATTCTGACATGCCATTTAGTTACCGACCTGTCCAATATCGAGGTTCGTTTATTTGTGGTGAAGTGTAAACTTAATTAGACTGCACGAAAAACGGCGCGTTGACCCTAAATGCACGTGACAACCAAAGCACCTGATCCTTATGCACACCGCTTCATGTTGCCAATTTCGCAGCATGCCATCATCGCCTGAACGCGAAGCTCCTGTCAATCTTTACCGCGTTGAAGTTAGCGTTCTTCCCAAGATTTTCAGAAAATTTGGGCATAAATTAAATAATCTTTCCAAATTAAAAAGAACCTTTTTGGATTCGAACCACGGATAGCGTAACCCTCTCCCTTATCCACTACACAACGCTGACCAGCTGGACGAGATCCCTTCTTTCCTGTTATGCACACCATCCCAAACAAAAATAGTGAAGCTGTGTAACGTAATCCACGAACTTATTACCGGTTCCCTTCAAATATTTCATTTTACTTCAAAAGCCTCGGTCGGTTGTCCGATCGACTGATCAACGCGAGCACTGTCAGGAAATCCAGATTGGAGTTTCATCAGATTTCACAGTTCCGCACAACGTATCTTGGTCGCTTTGCTGTTGGAACGGGTGTCGGGGTGTCACACACCCCATTGGTTAGTTTTGTAGGGGAAATCATGTTCTGTCGGCAACATTTTAAAAAACGAAGAACGGAAAATAAAAATGAAAAGGAGGGTCTATTGCATCATAAATCCACCCTCTAACTGCGGTGCATTTCGAAGGATTATCTCAAAACTCTGGCCGACATCAGTAATACTACCCTCTACTGTGACCGTTCAACTATTTGTTTAAAACGCAAGGGCGTGCTGGGAAAAACTCCCCCAAAGTCCCCTGTGTTATCAGAGCAAAGAATTTTTGATTAAGATTCCTTGGGAAGAAAACATAAAACAGGTTTTCGATCCTTGAATGCAAACATCTCAACCGGCATTTTCCCCCTCGCATGATCTCAACTGTGGTATTTACCGTCTGAAACACGAGAACGTCCACAATTAAGCACTCGTGCGCACGGGGGCAAATTCCATCCCTCTCGCAAGGACAATTTCCGAGAGCGTCGAGTAAAGCCGGTTCGACGTACAAACGGCGTAACTCCAACTGGGCATGTAATCACTATAAGGACCATGGACAGCGATAACTCATAGTCACATCACTGTGCCACTACCAAGAATTTGTTCATACCGACTGGGCCTTCAAGACAAGACAGTGATCAGAAATCATTTCACTGAAGACCTGGGTTTAGCACGGGATATACACTGTTACCTAAAGATCACGGACGTCGTCAAATGAAAGATATAAAATCTCACTTTCGTTTTTGTGTTCATGACACAACCACGGCGTTGCTAGATCGTTTTGCCAATGGGCGGCCGCATGAAATTTGCCGACGTACCATCGCGCAAAACGACTGTTTTCTAGTGTTGTAGTCGAGTCACCAATGTCCGAGTCCCGAGTCTCAAGCCTCGAGTCCAAGTCTCGAGTCACAAACCTCGAGTCCGAGTCACGAGCCACAGTCATGAATAAAGTTTAGGAAATTATTCTAAGTGTATCAAACCCTGGAGGAGAATCCCTGATCAAAGTTGTAAGTTCGCCGTGTGCTGTCTGTTTTGTTTATGCTGATTAACTAGATACATTGCAAAAGCTATGGGTACTTTTTTGCTAATGAAAATCATCCACCACTGATTTAAACTTTCAAATCCAGTATCTTCGTTTCTTTATTTAGGGAATGAAGTGCTAGGTCGGTTTTAAAGTACATTTAAGACGGACTCAGGAGAATACGTGAGCCGAAGATGGGGGAATTTCAAAACCTTACACAGTCGCGCCCAGTGTAGGCCACGGATGTTTTTGAAATTATTTTACACGCGAGCCTGGCTGTTTCGCTAAAAGTGTTCATATTCGCGACTGGTTCTTGAGACTATGAGGCTGAATATGTACGTCTGTACTCGCATAGTCTGATTACCACCTCACAGTTTGTGAATACGGAATATGACACGTCTGGTTGACCCATCGATGGATATTTAGCCGTACATAAATGGGCGAAGTGGAAACTGTGCAACGCGACGACGCTCCACGCGTGCAAATCAGTGATAGCACTGATTTTTCGACGGCGTATACGGTAACAATGTTTAATGAAAATACATGACTCGAGTCACAAGTCACCAATCTCAAGTTCGAGTCATCGTGGTCGAGTCTGAGACATTATCCAATGTGACTTGAGTCGAGTCCAAGTCATGAAAGATGTGACTATACAACACGGCTGTATTCCCCTTCCTACGTCGCGGTTGTCTTCCAGTAGTCGGTAAACTACGGCAGGCCGTAAGGACAAAATTAAGAGATTATTAACAAAAACGTTGGATGCGCCTTTTAAACCAAAATGCAAATACTATTAATGAATACTAGATGAAAATACGACTTTTAAAATTATTCACGGAAAGACACATTTGGGGGAAACCTGCACCAACCAAAGGTGACATTTCTGCACATCTTGCAGGATCGCCAATCATGGACGCAAGACAAATAATACCAAGGGCATTGGCGGGATGACTGAAACTTCAACCAGCAGCGATAGCCATCGATAATGACATAACTTCTCGTGGAAACGTGGGTATATGGAGCAATAGATGACAACAAAATCGATGAAGATTTTGAAGCAACGTGTTTTTGTAGAAATCGATGAAAACATTGTCGCTGACATCGAGAACAGTTATACTCTCTCACAAAATACATGGACTCCCAATATAAGTTTCCACGAACTCTGATCGAGCACTGTGCATGCGTGCGCACACTTGTGGTGCACTTTTTGTTTTCACTTACTGGCGAAAAATTTCTTAATTCACAATTAAGTTGAAAGGTTTCCAGGTACAAATTTCCTCAATCTCACAAGCAAATGGACGGAGATAATTCAAGTAAAACCTCTCAAATCATTAATTCCTCCGAAAAGTAACCTTATCCGACTACACTCTGCTCGTAAACGAGGCTTTTAACTCAAAATGCAGGGTAATTAATATTTATCGCACAATGTGATAAGGGGCACCTCGCTGATAAGGGAGGCTTAAGAGGAGAACGCGTTGAAGTAAGAGGATTCTTCCATTTATAAGCCTATACAAACGTCAAGGTTGCAATGCGGGCGGTTTTCCTTTCAGAACTGATCTTTTCTAAACGGAAAAAGACTAAAAGGAGAGGGAAAAATATTCGAATCCTCTGTTATTCGAACCATGCAGGGACATCCTTCGATATTACTGATCCTTTCCCTTATACGAATACTAACTGCTTCGAGTGGTGTACAACTTAGAAGAGGCTAGCCTTTCGCCTCAGGAAACTTCAATGTTCCATCATCGAAGGAGGCTGGCTTTACGAAAGAACACATATTAGATTCTACATAAGCGATAACTGGTTGATTTGATCTCAAACGTACTTTCTTGAATACGATCGTTTCACAATAGTGCACCTCTAAGAGTTTACCAATTTTTATGTACGTTTCGATGTTTCCACAAGAAGTTGATATCAGTGACCAGTTAGCCTAAATGACCACTTTGACCTTCGGTTGCTGAACTGGTGTGCCTGTTAATTAAAATTGACGTAGGTTCCCGTGTTTAGAAAAAATGTTTGGCACCCCACATGCGCATCAGCTATTCTTTAAAATAAAGCATACTCCCTGAGTCCTGAACAAAATCAGATCAAGTCGTCTGTCATGGCTTTTCAGGTTCGTCTGCAATGGAAATCTCGAGCTCTGTCCATAGCTCTCGGGAAGAGCTTGGAATAGTGACGTTGCATGTCTCAAGATCTGTTGTCTATGACACCGACTCACCCCGGTCGACCGGGTGTGCGCACTTTCTTCGTCCAAGTCCTGGACAAAACAGGATCTGCTTGTTTACATCGCGGCGGAAAAAAACTTTCATATTCCTCTCCGCTTGCAGAGGCTTGTGGCAACATCCGACTACAAACAGACCGGATTACATGTGAAGTTCTGAACAGCTCTGCCACGGAAAGAGAAAACATGGTTTACAGCTGAATTCGCCCATTCATACTACTGCGACATAAACAAAACCCAACATAAAAAAACTTGCAGACAGAATACATTTCAACTTCCCCCATCTGTGAGGATTTCAAATATTGTCGAGAGCCTAGCTCCACTGACAACAGCAAAGGGAACATTCAGATGGCTAACATTTTGCGGTGCCTACTTTCTCCAAATAACATGTTACGTTCTCAAATGACATGCTGGATGCGTTAAGGCTAACTTATTTCCTTGACGTCAAAATTATAGAACGCGTGTACATTGTTTTCTGTAACTTACATTCTGAGTCGACAAACCGCGTTTTCTTGGGTATTACGTCTTTGTCTGACTGCTTCGTCGTTTCTGTCATGGAATATCATTATCATAAATAAATTGGTTCCCTTTCTTCTGTAACATAAAATATCGCGCAGCATACCGCTTTCTGGTATCACGCGCGCGTAAATGGGCCCTTATGTACAAAAAACCGATCCTTCTTTATACCACAGTTAAACCCTCATTAGGATTTGCTTTGAGCCTCAAGCTGGACCAAGAGAGGGCGCAATTTTATCAGCAACGGAGGCTCCCTTGGTCGAAACTGAACTTCGCTGGTTCACGCACGACTATGAAATGCACGCGTTGCGGTCGCA